AAACCTCATCTGGGTTGCCGCGAACATGCGTTGGTAGGCAATGCCAGGTGAAAAGTTGAACCGCATGGGGTTCTGAGTAGAGTTTGTGAGAATGAAGTGAAATTTGGCTGTATAAGAGTTAAGTTTTCTGCTTCCTCCGAAAGTGTGTAGCTTTAAACCAGATAAGTTCTGTTACACTGCGTATAACTTTTGCAGCTCAAAGGTAAATTGAATCACTGACAGCTGAGAACCTTTAAACTATTGAGTAGTTTATATTTACACTTTCGGCCAGAATCGCGAGCTGTGCACTCTTTCTTTCGGTTTAGTAATTAAAATATTTTCACCAGAACGTGTATTGTCTAAGGTATTCCCTATTTGGGTTAGCATCGTTGGAACAATGCGATGACAACATAACAAAATTGGAATTGCCGTAAATTTTATCGATAACTATTGACAGCTTTTGACACATTTTTGCCGTCGTCGAAGTCGATGTCGACCGTAAGCCGCACAATGTCTATCGACAAAGAATTCGCTGAAGACCAGTATACAATTTTGCTACTATGATATTTTTTCTTGAAACATTTCTACTAATTTTTATACGAATATATTTTTAATATGATTATTCTAAATATTTTATATATCCTAAAGTTAATTTTTAAGTAGATAGACATATTTATTCTTAATTATTTTTTTTTGGAATTATCTCTTTTTTTATTACGATAGTAAACAATTTTCATTCATACTTTATTTTCTTGGAACGTTTTTGAGTTAAGAAAAAATTCCAAGTCAGCAAAGTGATGGCAAGCGATTGCGATGGTTGCCAGAAAGTAATTATAATATTACACTTTCCATATTATTTTTTCTCATATATTTAATAGCTGGATTATAATTTAATTTTTACTAAACTCTTGTAGGACCCAGAGGGATAAGCTAGTGACGGATATCCAGAGTGTACAGAATTTATGGTGGGAACACTTCTCCAGCCAGTTGAATGGCAGTAAAAATAATATACCCTGAGATGGTGTATACGAAAAAAAGCGGCAGGGACCGATGGATTACCGACCGAGCTGTTCAAATACGACGGTGTAGAGCTGTTCAGGTGCATCCATCGGCTTCTTTGCAAAATATGGTCGGATGAAAGCACGACCGACGATTTGCACTCAAATATGCTTTGCGCTATCCACAAAAAAGGCGATCCTAAAGTTTGCGCCAATTATCAGGGAATAAGCCTGCTTAGCATCGCATATAAGGTCCTATCAAGCGTATTAGCTGGCAGACTAAAGCCCACCGTCAACAAACTGATTAAACTTTATCAGTGTGGCTTCAGACCACGTCAACCAGTGACCCGATATTCACCATGCGCCAAATTTTGTAAAAGACCCTCGAAAAGAGGATCGACACCCTCCACCACATCTTCCACTTTAAAGTCGCCTTCGACAGACCAAAAAGAAGTTGACTTTTCCCGCTATGTCTGAATTTGGTATACCCGCAAAATTTATATGACTATGTAAACTGACCTTGAGCAATATCAAAAGCTCCGGCAGCATCGGAAAGGATCTCTCCGAGTCGTATGATACCAAACGAGATTTCAGACAGTGGGATTCCTTATTGTGTGACTTTTTAACTTATTCCTGGAGAAAATAATATGAGCTGCAGAGCTAAATAGAGTGGTGTACGCCGATGATATTAATATTATTGACCTCAACAACCGCGCCGTGAGTTCTGTTTTTCCCACAATTGATAAAAACGCGAAGCGAATAGGTCTGGTAGTAAACGAGGACAAGTTGAAATATCGCCTGTCATCAAACATAACTTCGAGGTGGAAGATAATTTCTTCTATCTAGAACCAGCATCAACACAAATAGTAATGTCAATGCCGGGAAATCCAACGTAGAGTCACTCTCTCCAACAGGTGCTACTTTGGACTGAGTGCACAATTAAAAAGTAAAGTCCTCTCTCGTCGAACGAAAACCACTCTTCCTACTATATGGCGCAGAAGCGTGGACGATGTCAACATCTGATGGGTCAGCTCTGAGAGTCTTCAAGAGAAAAGTTTTGTTAACGATTTATGGTCCTTTCCGCAATGGCAAAAACGATTGCCACAGACGCTGGAACGATGAGATGGACGAGCTATTTGATGGTATTGACATAGTTCAGCGAATGTAGAGACAGCTTTGAAAGTATTCGACGCTAGTGAAGGCAGAGGAAGAGGAAGATCTTCACTCCGTTGGAGGGATCAAGTGAAGAGTGACCTGACTTCAAATGGTATTTCCAACTGACGGCAGACATCGAAAAGAAGGGATAAATATTTGGTTCGGCTATAATCGCGTAAAACGGTGACAATGCCAATAAAGAAGAAGAAACCCTTTTAAATATTATACATAGGCGGCCGCGGTAGTTGAAATCCAGGTGTCGTACTAACATCGAAAAATTAATAGAAAATTAAATTAAATAAAAAATTAAGCTAAAATTTTTTTAAATTGGAATCGGCTTAGTGTAAACTACAGGTTCCGCCATTTGTTGGAAAAACATTAAGAGGCAAAACTACAAATTAGAGGAGGGTCTTAGCCGAAAATCGATTCAGCGGCTGCCGCGGCCACAAGTAACCCTTTGCTTATTGGAAAAAGCAGCGGTCAACTTGCTTCCATTCAACAGGCAACTTAATTCAGAAGGTATTGGACAGAGGGTTTAGTTGCGTGCTGAGGAAGGCTGTTCTCTACTCAAATATGAATATTAATTAAATGAAAACTTAAAAAAACAGTCTTCAAATTTGCTTAGCCATTTAATTTAAATGTTAATTGCTACGCTGCCTGATTTCGATGGCCAATTGAAATCTCCCAAATGAGAGTCATAACGCGCCAAATCGGCAGTGACAGTCTCGCCGACCAATAAATATACAATATACACTGTGCGACAACCGATTAGCACACCCTATGCTGCTCGTCTTAGAATGTCAATATCAGGAAAACTAAAAAAGCTTTTCAAATAATTTTTTTGTCCCTTAAAAGAATATATAATTTCACACGAAAATTAATAGAAGATGGGATACTAACTTTATTAATAACATTTTAAATTAATATAAACAAACATAACATACAAAATTCTCTATTATTTTTGCGACAGCCGATTAGCACAGTCACTTGAAAACTTCAGATAACAAAAGAAAATGGGTTGAAACTTCATTCAAATTGCTTTTTAATAATAATTTAAATATTTTTAACTTTTTTTGAAAACAAATTAATAATGTGTTGAGCCTCCACGGTTAAGTATGACTTCGTACATCCGCTAAGTTTAGGAGTCATATAATTTTTTTATATAATTTTGAGAAACAGCCTCCCAAGACCGTTTTATTCCTTCAATGAGTTCTGCTTCAGTTGAATACTATCTGCCGGACTCGTACACCTTTCGTGCCAGCCACCGCCAAACATTTTCTATAATGTTTAGGTCGGGAGAGTATAGCGGCCAAGCTAGTAATTCCACGTTTTGACCATCAATCCAGGACTTTACAATCCTGGCTGTGTGGATAGGTGCGTTGTCCTGCTGGAACTTCCATTTCAAGAGCCCAAAAATATCCTTGATTGCAGGGAAAGCCGTATTCAGTACACCTTTGTACGCAATGGCATTCATACGGCGGGTAAGAAACTGCAGTTCGATAGTGCCAAGGTACATTAAAGCTCCCCACACCATGACACCACCCGCACGGCTGTGCAATCGACCTTCCTTTCTGAGATCATGAAAGTAGTAGGCATAGCCGTCAGAACCCTCCGAATTGAACTTTTTTTTCATCTGAAAAGACTACACGCTCCCACTCCTTAGTCCAGGTCATATTTGATCGACAGAAATTGAGTCGTTGCATCTTTCTAAGTTGGTTTAGAGGTGTTCTTTTTTCAATTTTAGATGCTTCATATGATCAGCATTCGAAATAAATCTCTGCACAGTCCGAACGCACGCTTTGACACCAGTTTTTTCCTTTATTTTGGCGGCTGAGTCGTGGGAATTAGATGCGTGTAATATTTTTTGATATTTGAAGAATAGAGTGCCCGCACTCCCTGTAAGCCTTTATTTTGCCTTTTTCAGACTCTTCCAGCTGACACGCAAAAAGTGACATGAAAGCGAAAATGTGCTAATCGGCTGTCGCAAAAAATATGCATGCATTTTTGTCGCACTTCAAAGAAAAAAGCAAAGCAAAATTACGGTACACTTCCAGAGCTCACAGTTATACTTAGAATGAGCGAAAATGATACAGAATAAACGGAAAAATAGAATGCGCATGAAACACATTCAGAGTAAGGAGTTATTTTCCTTTAAACTGATAGGTTAGAGAGTGTGCTAATCGGTTGTCGCGCAGTGTATGTCGTTATGAGTGGTAACTTGGCTTCAGTTATTATGAAGCTGGACTTTATATAAGTGCAAAATACACTATAAAGTGCCGTAAGAAAAACTCAGGTTTTGGGATCGTCGAGAAATATACACATTCGAGCAACGATCACATTTGAATCACAATAATAGGTTTTAACAATTTTAATGCGTTGGGCGGCGGTTAAACGATTTATTTTCATAAAAACCTGACTTTTTTGGCTCAAAATAATATCCGTTGGTTCGATCCCTGCCATAAGAAGTCTGATGAGGAGATGTGGTGATCTCCGAAACAGCTGTCACTTCTACCATTTTTTCTTTGTTGTATAACAAATATTCAATTCATACAAACAACAAGGCCTCGTAGTTTACTTAATAAAATTAATATGTAGCATGACCGCAAAAACAAATTACAAAATATGTTTGGTTTGACAATTAAGTTTGACAGCCTTGTACTTTGGCAACCCTGTTCCGTGGTCACCCTATGTGAAGTTATTTATATCTCTTAAGGATCGTGTCTGGCACCGCCATGAGTTATTTACAGAAATACTTAAAAATAAACACTTTTTGTAATGCCACTGTTATATTATAGTTAATACACGATAACTTCTAATAATTTAAGTATTTAATTTAATACAAAACAGTTTAATTATTACTCACATTGTATATGTACATATGTATGTTTGTATTTCGAAACTGCCCAACATTTGAAATGATTGCAAAACTTAATTCTACACCAATAGCGTATATACATTCTTATATTGTTGGTCTCTACAAAATTTCACAAATAATAATAAATATTTATAGCAAGTATGTATATTTAATATTTATTAAAAAAAAAATTTTGGTGAACGCATTTAAGAGTGCTTAAGACTGCACCCTGTATGTGGTGACTTTTCCATTATCATTGATTGTGGTCTGTGCACCGCGTCGACTTGTCTTCTGTCCATTAATGTCGGAGCTACTTGAAAACGAGCTAACCGATACGCCCTTGTAGCCGCCGGGCGATGATGGTCCACCAAAGCGGTTATTGATATTCGGAATGTCCTGGGCACAAATAAATAAGATAAAAATATATAAAAAAAAAACATTTATGAATTTTCACTTTTTACGGCTTCTTTACCGGGTTTGCAGGATTAATGCTAGCTGTGTGATAAGACCCGCCAGGTCCGATGGAAGCAGCGGCGGCTGCATGATTGGGCGCATAACGGTTTGGCGTACTATATGAACCACCACCGCCAGCACTACCGTAATAAGAGGGACGGTGGATATTATTGAAGTAAGCCTGTTGCTGAGCTATTTGTTGTTGAATTCGTCTGTGGAGATAAAATGGATAATCAACCGTTAATACTTTACCTTCATCAGTGATGAAGACTAAAAATTTCAAAAATAACTACAAATAAATACAAATTTAAGTACCTATTAATTATTATTATTGTATATATGTGTATGTAAGTGTATATTAGCACAAATTATGTTATTTACTTATCGTTAGGCAAAAGTGAGGCATCAGCAGTGGCCATAGCTTGGCCGGAAGAGTACGTCGAAGCAATAGCGCTAAGAATATACATAGAATAAAGCACTATAAATGGGGAAATGTGATTAGCAAAGCAAATTGGTTATAACCCAACAACCGTTTCGTATATACATATATATATATGTTTACATATATGTGTTATGTATACGTAAGTATGTTATATTACAATAAAACACAGTTATTGGTTATCATTATATATGAAAGTTTATATGTAGCGAAATATTAACTTACTGATTCTGTGCAGCCTGATTGGCTAGAATTTGTGCTGTTAACTGTTGATGAAATAGGAAGGGATCTATGAAACCAAAATCGGGTGCATAACCGTAATCGTAATCGTCATAGCCACCTCCGCCATACCCTCCAGCACTGCCACCGGCTCCTGCATAGCTGCCTGCGCTGCTACCAGCATATCCAGTGGCATAACGCTTGCGATTACGTGCTAATGGAATAGAAGATTTTAGTCTAGCTTGTGGTCTGCTTTGCGACTTAACTTGTGTACCACCTTCAGAGTCCATCACCAAAGTTGCGATAATAAAAATCGTGAGAATTCTCCACATATCGAATGAGCGTTGTCTGCAAGAAGATTTGTTAAAATATACATAATTATAAAATGATATAATTAATGGAAAGTAAACATTAAATTCATGGGAAAGTGAACATTAATAATTTGGTCTCACATGTTTCTGGCCAAGGGTGCACAGTCTAAGCAAGAATCGGACAGCCGAAAGTTATCTGAGGAGCACAGCCGGCAATCGCTATTGTTCATGCTACAATACAAATCAGAATTCTGTAGTAGACCACAACTTCGTCCGCATGGAATATGAACATTGATTCTAATGCGATTTTTTTTTATTGGTTTTTACGTTATTTATTTTATTATAACTTCTAAATTATAAAAAAAAAAATTAAAATAAAAAAAAAAATAAAAAAAATTTGAGTATTTCTAAATTCTTAATCCATATATCAAGCGAACTGATTTTTTCAACTCTGGACAATTAACAAAAGGAAATTTTTTCAGCTATTAACCTCGGCAAAAAAACATATGTTAAAGCAAATGGAACTAGAACTTCAAGTTCTTGGAACATATCAGTTTCAGGTCCACTTCCGAAAAAAGCAGCTATTGGGTTGCCCAAAAAGTAATTGCGGATTTTTTTTAAAAGAAAGTAAATGCAATTTTAACAGAACTTAGAATGAACTTTAATCAAATATATAATTGCCATTTTGTTCGATAACCTTTTGCCATCTTCCTGGCAAATTTAGTATTCCACGCTCATAGAACTAATGGTCTTTATCTACAAAAAACTGAACCAAGTGCGATTTTATAGCCTCATCATTGCCGAAAGTTTTACCATTTAAGGAGTTCCGCAAAGATCGAAATAAATCGGTAGTCTGATGGTGCAAGGTCAGGGCTATATGGTGGATGCATCAAAAGTTCCCAGCCAAGCTCACTCAGTTTTTGGGGAGTGACCAAAGTTGTGTGCGGTCTAGCGTTGGCCTGGTGGAATAGGACACCTTTACGATTTTCCAATTCTGGTCGCTTCTCCTTGAAGACTGTATTCAATTTTTCAAATTGTCAGTAAACATCCGAATTAATCGTTTGGTTCCTTGGAAGCAGCTCAAAATAGACGACACCCTTCCAATCCCACCAAACAGACAGCATAACCTTCTTTTGGTGGATATCAGCCTTTGAAGTGGTTTGAGCTGGTTCACCATGCTTGGACCATGATCGTTTTCGACTAACGTTGTTGTAAACAATCCATTTTTCATCTCCAGTTA